ACTCTTTTACCAACGAATAGTGGGATTGACCGTCACATTATAACGCCCTCACGGCTGAAAGGGCGAGCATGTTTGGTGGTATACGGATTCGAACCCGCGACCCTCAGATTGTGAGTCGAGCGCCTTATCCACCTGGCCATGCCGGGCCCTTGAATTTAAGTAATGATCCATATTGTTCATGAGCTATGAATTTAAGCCAGCCAATCACAGCAGATTGGTTGAAACTGCTGTTAAAATATTGAAAAACTGCTTACAAATCAATGATACGGTTGGTCGGACTCATGAGATCGGAAAACTATCATCCATAATACAAGAAAAATATCCTTATTTGTTGATTCGGATTTGCTACAATCGTATCGTACGGTATTGTTCCGAGTCTAAATCAAATGTCCGTAGCCGCAACTGAATCATGGTCAGTGTAGAAACGGTTAGTAACGTGGTGTATAGGCTGATCTATACGATTACGCTGAATAAGTCACACTCTACACAGAACAAGGTATAAAACAGTGTACCAATAACACGCAGAGTAATGTGCGTTTTCTATAGATAAGTCACTTCACCAGGCGTACATCCATTTGGATAGGATGTGGAACCAGACCCAACTCCAAACGTACACTCATTTGAAGAGGATGTGGAACCAGACTCAACACCAGGTGTACATTCATTTAGAGAGAATGTAGAACCAGACTCAACTCCAAGCGTACACTCATTTAGAGAGAATGTGGAACCAGACTCGACCCCATTTTTGAACAAGAAAATACCGCACACAGCAAAGGTGGAAGTATAGTGTGGGCAGAAATAAGCACTTCTGGTTGTAGTAAGCTCTAAGTCCAGAGGAATGGTACCATTAACGCCTCACATTATAGGGGCTACACCCTACGACTCTTCGTGTTGTCTAATGATTGTATAGGTTTCCCTTATTTCAGCCTAGTGGATAATGATAACGAACCTGGTCAACATTTTGCTCGATTTAAGTCCTATCGAACAAGTATGAAACATTCTTGGGACACGAATCTCATTCAGTCAAACAACACAATACGTTAAAGATGGCCTAAAAATGGTCAGCAGGGTTCTATCTATTCTCTGATTGGAGCATGCAACACAGGACACCAGGCTGCCCTTTGTCTATAGATACCAAACCCCTTGAAAATATATATATCATGAACTGTAAAGATGTAAAACTATCTTTACAAAAGGTTCATTTCAGATAACGTCATAGAAATGTACTGAGACATAATTGTGTAAAAATGGTTCTGACACGTCGTAACTAAACTATTATTAATTTCCAATTATCTTTTATCTGTTTTGTGCAGTGTATTTTAATTAGCTTTACATAAACGCTAACAGAAACTAAAATTTTTGAAAAGAGTACAAATGTGTTATCTTTCAGCTTTTTTTTAAAATTGTTTTGAATATAATTTTCTCGAAACCATTCCTTACACCATGTCCTTTTCTCGAAACCATTCCTTACACCATGTCCTTTTCTCGAAACCATTCCTTACACCATGTCCTTTTCTCGAAACCATTCCTTACACCATGTCCTTTTCTCGAAACCATTCCTTACACCATGTCCTTTTCTCGAAACCATTCCTTACACCATGTCCTTTTCTCGAAACCATTCCTTACACCATGCCCTTTTCTCGAAACCATTCCTTACACCATGTCCTTTTCTCGAAACCATTCCTTACACCATGTCCTTCTCGAAACCATTCCTTACACCATGCCCTTTTCTCGAAACCATTCCTTACACCATGCCCTTTTCTCGAAACCATTCCTTACACCATGTCCTTTTCTCGAAACCATTCCTTACACCATGTCCTTATGTTGCAGTAACGTTATTGGCAGGAATATAGATACTTTGGTTCGATTTGTTTCTGACTGATTTTTCTTTTCTTCTTTCATTTTTTTTACACTTTATTTCAAATCCAACATTTCTGTCAGTGAATCAAGTGCCCTTTGTCCCGCTTTTTCTTGCTTTCAGTCTAATGGTGACGTTCGCGAGTAAAAGGCGAGAAATATTTTTAAAGCTACTTTATATGGACTTAGACTTCGTATTCAATGCGTGAACTTGATACGAGTAAACTAAAGCCTAGTCAATTTGAAGTATTGATCAGTTACACTCTCCACGTATAACACACGCCTTACAAATGTAACGCAAAGAACCGTAAACTGAGTATGGAAGCCTTGTAAAATATTTGCATATCAATAATATTACATTTTCCTTCAATGTAACATGCTTTGAAATATTACAAGTATTTTTCCATAACTGCCTACAAGTAAGCTTTTCTGGCGTCGTAGATCGAAGTAAAAGTTTTTTCGTTATCTGTGGCAGACAGAATTATTAAAACATGTCTAGAGAGAGAAAGCATGATTTATTATTTGAATATATGACAACTAATATAATGTCTTATGAGGTCCGTGTTTCTAGACATTTAGGAATAAATTATTGCTCAAAGTATTCATAATGAAAACGCTATTTATAATTTTCAATCTTGTAGAATACCCCTCCAGATAGTCATTGTTTGATTCATGCTCTTCTTTTTTTCTTTCTCTTGACCAGGGGGTTAGGTCGTAGGGGTGTTATAATGTGACGGTCAATCCCACTATTCGTTGATAAAAGATTAGCCTAACAGTTGGTGGTGGGTGGTGATGA